TCTCTCTCTCTCTCTCTCTCTCTCTCTCTCTCTCTCTCTCTCTCTCACCCTTTCTTTCTTTCTTTCGCAATTGAGTCTCACCGTCACCCAGGCTGGAGTGTACTGGCACAATCTCAGCTCATTGCAATCCCCGACTCCCTGGTTCAAGCGATTCTCCTGCCTCAGTCACCTGAGTAACTGGGATTACAGGCATTCACCACCACACCCAGCTAATTTTGTGTATTTTTTTTTTTTTTTAGTAGAGATGGTATTTCACCGTGTTGGCCAGGATGGTCTTGATCTCATGACTTTGTGTTCCACCAGCCTTGGCCTCCCAAAGTGCTGGGATTACAGGTGTGAGCCACCACGCCCAGCCACCCATGTTTTCTGTGTTCTTCCAGTTCCTTTATGCTCTGTCCAGACTAGCCTGGGAGCCCTCTGTCCCGGGGACCCCAAGCTTCTCACTGCCCCCCAAGCACATCAAGCCACACCTCTACACAGGCAGTTCCCTCTTCAGGCATGCCTGTTTTGCCCTCACTTCTTGTGAGTGCTTGATAAAATCTGCTACTCCTTCAAGATGCAGCTCAAATGTCATCATTTCCTTGAAACTTCTAGGCCAGGGCTGCCCCAGGGCCCAGATGACTCTTGACTGTGAGAGTGTGTTCAAGGGCAGGTCAAGTCTTGCTGGACACCCCGAGTGCCTAGCACAGGGCCAGAATGAGCAGGTGACACTGATCACTGATTCAAAGAAAGAATAAACTTTTCCCCTTCTCCTTTCTGCCTTGGACTTTGGAAAACTCAGGCCACAATATCTTTCCATATTCTAATGATCCGGTGACAGGCCACAGTGAGTATCTTTCTGTATTCTAATGATCCGGTTACACGTCAGTCTCCCCAGGGAACCAACCCTAGTCTGTTTCTTTTTTTGTATTCTGGCACCTAGTGCGGTGCTCAGAAGTAGAAGGTTCTTGGACAGACTGAGGGGATTAAGACTTTGGAGTCTAAAGAACAGAACGGACATGTAGTCAAAGTCTACAGTAATGCAGACCAAAGGTGGGAAACCACTAATGGGCTAAATCCCAGGATATGAGAGCAAGAAAGCACCCCAGGAAGTGTGGAACAGGCAGTTTCAGGGAAAACAAAAAGAAGCATGATGGGTAATGGAAAATTTTGAAAATATGGCTGCAAGGGGCCTGGCATGGTGGCTCACACCTGTAATCCCAGCAGTTTGGGAGGCTGAGACGGGGGATCACCTGAGGTCAGGAGTTCAAGACTGGCTAACATGGTAAAACCCAGTCTCTACTAAAAATAGAAAAATTAGCCAGGCGTGGTGGTGGGCACCTGTAATCCCAGCTACTTGGGAGGCTCAGGCAGAAGAATCACTGAACCTAGGAGGCAGAGTTTGCAGTGAGCCAAGATTGTGCCACTGCACTCCAGCCTGGGTGACAGAATGAGACTCCATCTCAAAAAAAAAAAAAAAAAAAAAAGAGAAAATATGGCTGCACAATATTGTGAATGTAATTAATGCCACTGAATTGTACACTTAAAATGGTCAAAGTGGCATATTTCATGTTATGTTTTACCTTGATAAAAAAATAAAAATAGGCCAGGTGTGGTGGCTCAAGGCTGTAATCCCAGCACTTTGGGAGGCTGAGGTGGGAGGATTGATTGAGCCCGGGAGGCAAGGGTTGCAGTGAGCCAAGATTGTGCCATTGCACTCCAGCCTGGGAGACAGAGTGAGACTCTGTCTCAAAAAAAAAAAAATCAGTACTATACCATGAAAAACAAAAATATCATATCTTAGCATGTGCTTGATAGTTTCTTCATTCAGTGAATACTCACTGAGGTGCTAATATTCCTTTTACCAAATATATACATATATATACATACATATACATATATATATTATATATATATATATATATAGAGAGAGAGAGAGAGAGAGAGAGAGAGAGGGAGAGAGAGAGTCTCTCTCACTCTGCTGCCTAGGCTGCTCTTGAACTCCTAGGCTCCGGTGATCCTCCCACCTTGACCTCCTAAAGTGCTGGGATTACAGATGTGAGCCACGCATGGTGTCCAGCCTAATATTCCATCTGATCACCATAACATGTTGTGAGGGAAGTAGGCCATTTTACAGAGAAAGAAACTGAGGCATGGAGAGGGCACCAACCCAGCCACAAATCCCACGCTTGTGAGTGGCAAAGATGGGATCTGAGCCCACATCTTCTGGTCTTGGTCTCTTTTTATTTGATTCAATTTTTCTTTCTTTCCTAAACAAACTTGACATTTGTTACCCTCTGCAGGTGATTCGAGTTGGAAAAGGGTCTAAGGATTTAGGTCAATTCTTGTGCGGGGAAGGGACACCCTATTCTGAGCCCCCCAGCCACCCATCCATCCAAAGAACACCTGTGCCTCCTCTCAGATAGGCGCACAGCGTGCTGACCCAGAGTGGGCTGACCCAGGAGCTGAGCGGAGTTGGGTGGCAGCTGACAGGGAGGCTGGTCGGGGGCGGCTGGGAGCATCACCTGGTCGCACGTGTCAGTGGACCCCCCGTCAGCCAGGAACTTCTCAATGACCTTCATTTTCCCCTCCACCGCGGCTTTCAGGAAGGTCTCCTCATCCACAGGGCCGGTCTGCAGGTGTGGATGCAGCAGTCACGGGCGCCCCCGCGACCCGAGGCCTCCCGGGCTCCCCCCGCCCCCACGCAGTGTCCTCCCCAGGACCCTTACGATCTCCTCGGGCTCCGGGGGCGGCTCATGCGAGGCGGCCAGGGCGTCCCGCTTCTTCTGCTTGCGTTTCTTCCGCAGCTCGATGAGGTTCTGGATCCCGCCCACGTCGATGATCTCTCGCCGCAGGTCCAGGGATGTCTTGCGCACGCGCTCTTGGCCCTGAGCGGGGATGGCCTATCAACCCCCAGGCTGGGCAGAGAGGTTGGGGGGCTTGGAAGACCTCTGAGCTGAGCTGGTGGGAGGATGGGGTGGGCAGGGAGACCTTCTCAAGAAAGAAGGAACCAAGGTCTAACCCTCCTTCCGGGCCTAGATGGTTCTAAGATTGGGGGAATTCTGACTCAACAGCTCTGGGGCGGGTGGAGATTCTGCCGGGGTGCTGAACTGCTGGACCATGGGCCACGTGGGGAGAGGTGCAGACACTGGGTCCTCCCGGGCTTACCTTCACCTTCTGTAGGCCTGCACTCTGAGCCCCGTGGTGCTTCTCATCCTCCAGCACCAGCAAGTCCATGGGCAGCTTCTGGCGTTCGGCTCCCCGGAGTTTCTGCGATTCAAGGAGAGCACCTTCTCCAGGACCCGAGGAGACAGGTAGCCTCTCCCCTAACCACGCCAAGGACACTCCACAGGGACCTCCTTCTGGGTGGTCTCAGAGCCCTTCTGGCTGATCCTGGAGAGCCCTCAGCAAGGGCAGTGCCCCTGGAGAGACCCCCAAAAGGGGCGAGTTCCCCACCTCAGCCTCAGCCCCAGTCCCAACCCTGAGCTCAGACACCTGCCCGCGACTGGCCTGGATCTCTGCAAAACATTAACAGCCACCAGAGTGAGGTTTTCATGAGATTAAATATAGTCACTCTTTCAAGCATCAAGATTTTTTTTTCTTTACTTTTTTTGGTATTAAAAATTCACTTTGGCTGAGTGTGGTGGCGCCAGGCTTCAGTCCCATTTGCTGGGGAGGCTGAGGCAGAAGCACTGCTCGATCCCAGGGGTTTGAGACCAGCTTCAGAGACATAGCAAGATCCTTTCTCTAAAAATAAATAGGCCAGCCACAGTGGCTCACGTCTGTAATCCCAACACTTTGGGAGGCTGAGGTGGGAGGATCGCTTGAGCCCAGAAGTTTAAGATCAGCCTGGGCAATATAGGGAGACCTCGTCTTTACAAAAAAGTTAAATAATGAGCCAAGCATGGTGACTTTTGCTGTAGTCCCAGCTACTCGGGAGACTGAGGTGGGAGGATTGCTTGAGCCCAGGAAGGGGAGGTTGCAGTGAGCCAAGATCATGCTACTGCGCTCCAGCCTGAGTGATGAGAAAGAGGGAGAGAGGGAGAGAGGGAGGTGTGTGTGTGTGGCGGGGCGGGGGGTGGGGGAGAGACAGAGAGAGAGAGAGAGAATATGACCCTGCCTCAAAAAATGAATAGGCCAGGCACGATGGCTCACGCCGATGATCCCAGCACTTTGGGAGACCGAGGCAGGTGGATTGCTTGAGCCCAGGGGTTCGACACCATCCATGGCCAACATGGTGAAATTCCATCTCTACTAAAAATACAAAAATTAGCCAGGCGTGTTGGCACGCACTGTAGTCCCAGCTACTCAGGAGGCTGAGGCACAAGAATCTCTTGAACCCAGGAGGTATATGTTGCAGTGAGCCAAGATTGCACCACTGCACTGCAGCTTGGGCAAGAGAGTGAGACTTGGTCTCAAATAATAATAATAATAATGTTTTTAAATAAACAAATAATTCACTTTGATGAAATAATTGTGATGAGAGAGAATTGTTTCTTACATGGCCTTACTCAGCAATATACAATCTGGGAATTCTCTGTTAGATACCTTTTTTTTTTCTCAGCTGTCACTGACCTGTGAAGTCTAGAGCTTGGAAACTATTGCTTTCAGGGGAACAGGGCAATGGGAGCAGCAGCTCCTCAGCCTTCAGCCTGAAATGGGCTCTAAATCTGAAACTTCTTCTCACTGTAACCCAGGTTCGATGCCTGCCAGGTCTCCTCTGCAATTGCCCTCTGATTTTCCTGGACTGCTTCTTCTCTCTTTGTGATGTGCTGGCACCCCCACCCCTGCAGTCCCCACCATGCAGCTTGTGTGGCTGTGTCCAGAAGCAATTGCCCAGGTCAGAGGGTCCAGGGTCGATGTGGCAGCTGGGAAGGAGGCCACCCTGACAGAACACTTGGGTGCCTTTCACATTCTTCCTGAGCTCTCACACTAGCTCCTTCAAGATGGTTTTGAGAGTGGATTTGCCAAGTCTTCATTCTGAAGTCCTATTTGCCACTGCTTTCTCCCTTTCATGTTGGACTTTGTGGTTGGAGGTCTCCTCGGTGCTGGCCTAACCTGAAACACTGCATCTTCTTCAAAGGACGAGAGAGAACCTGGGGCTGCAGCTAGTGCTGCATGTGGGACTCTGGCTGGGCTCCCCAGGGAGCATCCAGAGGGCCAGCTTGTGTCTTAATCATCTTGGTGTCCCCAGCATCTGTGATTGGCCCTAGCACATAGTAGGTGCTTCGGCATCTCTGCTAACCCTTAAGTTCTCAGTGATGACCTAACCCAGTAAGCTCCCCTCAATGGAACTCCAGCCCCTGCGCTGGCCTCTGGGGCCCTCCTTCCCCTCCCACCCTGGGGATGGGGCACAGGCTAGACAGAAGCTCTCCTCCAAGAACCCTGCCAGGCTGGGGCCTGGTAGAGACAACTGACGACTCTAATGCTCACCCACATCTTCCCCAGATGCTATAGCCCTTCATTTCAGGTTTGTCTTTGTGGGCTGACACACAGTAGGTGCTCAATAACTGTTTGCTGCATTGAATGTAAGTTCATGAAACACACAAATCTCCCACCAGTAATTACTTCATAGACTGTCGTGCAGATTAAATGACAGAATGCCTGTAAAATGCTTAGCACAGGGCCTGGCACTGGTGTCCTGCCAGCTCTGTAGCTATATTTATTGGATGAATGAACGGAAGAGCACTGCTCTGCACCCCCTTGCTGAAGGTCCCTGTGTCTAGTGGCAGCACTCCAGAACTGGCACAGCAGCATGACTCACCTGCCTGGCGCCAGCCAACCATAGGCACATGCCCTTGGGGGAGCGAGAATTGGGATTCCTAGAGATCCAGGGATGCTTGCCCCAGCCAGCACTCGGTCCAGGCTCTTTCCTGACCTCATCTCTTCTTCCCTTGGGGTCTTGACCCTTCCCTCCTCCTCACCCCTCATTCAGTCACACTCCTTTTTTTGAATGGCATCTACCTCCAAACTGATATATCTCCTCCTCTCAATTCCTATTAGGGCCAGCCTTTTCCAACCAGTTCTCAGGGCCATCAGAGCTGCCTTCCTAAAATAGGCCAGATGGCACCACTCTCCCTCACTCAATAGCATCTAGTGGCTCCTCACTGCCCACAGAATAAATATGTATTTTTTTCTTTTTTTTAAGACAGAGTCTCATTCTGTTGCCCAGGCTGGAGTGCAGTGGTGCAATCTTACTACAACCTCAGCCTCCCGGGTTCAAGTAATTCTCCAGCCTCAGCCTCTCAAGTAGCTGGGACTACAGGTGCATGCCACTACACTGAGCTAATTTTTGTATTTTTAGTAGAGATGGGGTTTTGCCATATTGACCAGGCTGGTCTAAAACTCCTGACCTCATGATCTGCCTGCCTTGGCCTCCCAAAGTGCTAGGATTACGGGCGTGAGCCACCACACACAGCCCAGAATAAATATCTTTTACATGGCCCTCTCTGGCTTGTGTCTTTCCAGCCTTAGTCCTACTACTAGACTTTCTCAAAACAGCCATGCTTTCACTCACGGAAACTCTAGCTCCTGCATTTCCTTAGGCTGGAATACCCTCCACCATCCTGGACTCCACTGAGTCTTCCTGAAGGCCCAGCTCAGGTATCCTCCTGTCCACAGAGGAGTCCTCTTTTTTTTGGACATAGTCTCACTCTGTCTTCCAGGCTGAAGTGCAGTGGCACAATCTTGGCTTACTGCAACCTCCACCTCCCGGGTGCAAGCAATTCTCCTGCCTCAGTCTCCAGAGTAGCTGGGATTACAGGTGTCCACCACCATTCCCAGCTAATTTTTGTATTTTTAGTAAAGACAGGGTTTCACCATGTTGGCCAAGCTGGTCTCGAACTCCTGACCTCAGGTGATCCACCCACCTAGGATCTCGGATCTCAAAATGCTGGGATTACAGGCTTGAGCCACTGCACCTGGCCCTGTCCACAGAGGAGTCCTTGAGGGCGCTCAGAACAATTCATGAGCTCCTTGTGTTCCTCCCCTTCTGATTCACACCTCTATTTAGCCATTTCTTCCCTCTGCCTTGTTTCTTAGTTGACCATGAAACTGACAAGTGGGCTAAAATGAATGCTGGGTTGGTAAAAAGAAGGCAGGGTCTGGGCCTCAGTGGTCCACCCATTTCTACAGCTCTGGGCTCCTGGCAGAGCTGACACTAGATCAAGTATTAATTTAAATAAAATGAAGAGTAGGGGCTGGGTGCAGTGGCTCACACCTGTAATTTCAGTATTTTGGGAGGCTGAGGCAGGTGGATCACACCTGTAATTTCAGTATTTTGGGAGGCTGAGGCGGGTGAATCACACCTGTAATTTCAGTATTTTGGGAGGTTGAGGTGGGTGGATCACATCTGTAATTTCAGTATTTTGGGAGGCTGAGGCAGGTGGATTGCCTGAGGCCAGGAGTTCGAGACCAACCTGACCAACATGGTGAAACCCCCGTCTCTACTAAAAGCACAAAACTAGCCAGGTGTGGTGGCGCATGCCTGTAATCCCAGCTACTTGAAAGGCTGAGGCAGGAAAATCACTTGAACCCAGGAGGCGGAGGTTGCAGTGAGCTGAGATTGTGCCACTGCATGCCAGCCTGGGCGACAGAAGGAGACTCCATCTCAAAAAAAAAAAAAAAAAAAAAGTAGGACAAGTAGCACCCCTGCCCCACTCCACTTCCTTATCCCAGAGAAAATGGAATTGCCCAGAACACCACACTCCAAAGGCCTCCCCAAGGGTGGCCAGCAGGCTCCAAAAATCCATGCTTCCTTTCCCAGCATTCCTTCCTCACTCTGTTCCTCACTCTGTTCCTCACTCTCCTCTTCAGTGGCCAAACACTGGTGTTACCCTGCTCCAGCCTCCCACTCAGTCGCAGGGGGTCGCAGGGCCACACACTCCAGACAGTCCCGGGCAGCACCCAGCTGTCTGCCTTGTACAGCCCAGTCTCTCAGGGCCCAGGAGAGTGGGCAGTCTCAGGAGACCCAGCTCAGCTCCCCACCCCACTGACTCAATTTTGGAGGCTGAAGTCTCAGTCTTCCGCTGCCAGCAATACCCCCTGCCAGTAATGCGCTGGGACAGGAATGAGACTCAGCCGGGCTCTTGGCAACATCTGGCCCTCCCCACCACAGGTGTAGCAGCTAGGCTCTCCCTCCCCTTGACAGCAGAGCTGATCTCCCCAAACCCCCTTGGGCCCCTCCATCCCTGCCCGCACCTCATTCTCCTCCTCCTGTGCCAGTCGCTGCTCAATGAGCGCCGTGGCCCTCTGCACTGCCTCGGAGTCCTCCATGGTGCTGTCCATAACCACCTCTGCAGGCCACAGGGGCTTGGGGGCTTTATAGGCCAGAGCACCCACCCCGCCCAGCTGGGCGCCTTTGCCATGAGCTCACCGGCCTAATTCTCCACCTGCTTCCCCAACCTGTCACCTTCACCTCGGGCAGCCCCAGGGAGCAGGGGGAGCCAGGGCCAGGGAGCAGGGCCAGTTGCTCCGCCAACTCCTGGCCTCTTAGAGCTGGAGGGCACCGTGTCCCAAGAGCAGGGCTGCAGGAAGAAGCATGTCCAGCCTCTGTCCTGAGCACTTGGGCCTGGCTGGGCCTTAGCCAAGGCAGCTGGGCTGCACAAGGGACCTGCCGGCTGCATGCTGTAGCCCAGATGACAGTGCCACCTGCTGGATGCCTGGAAACCCTGCTCAGCCAGCTCCAGGAAAGGGGCCTGAAAACCACACGTGGGGACCAGGACAGTTCTGTACTCCCAGGCTGTCCTGCAGACATGCCCTGCTGGCTGTGAGGAGGGTCACACTCTACTTGTCCAGGCCAGGGCAGTAGTAGCAGTTAGGGTAGCCATCTCCCTCTTTGATCGCAGCTCATGCTGGCCTTCGGCTCACTGTGATCCCACATGCTCCTCCCTGCTCCCCGGTTAAGCATCACTGCATTTGGATGGGTGACCTTTAGTCACCAACAAACCTTATCCAATCTGTCTCCTCCCTCGGTGCCTCAGGGCAACTGCTCAGGGAGCCTCTGCAGCGCTTACAGGGTCTTGCTTCAAGACAGGGGTCTCAGGAAAGCACTAAGCCCAGCTGGGGAGGAACAGCAGCTACTCCAATCCTCCTACCCTCCAGGGGTTTCCCTGTCAGGCCCAGACAGTGCCAGGTTTTCCTGGCCAGGAGGCTGGCCATGCTCACTGAGAAGGAAAAATACTCCCCACTGGAGCAAAAGCAGATCTGTACTTGCTCAGTTCCACACCCGGAACTTGCAGGCTGGAGATCTGAGTCACTGTGACCCAGGTTAACCTGCTGGGGACCTGCAGACACCCGGCCCTGTGCTTCTGTAAGGCTCACCTGGCTGGTGGCTGCCCTTAGCTAAACAGCCTTATATAAGATACCCCTCTCTTCAGATATGCATGTATTCCCTAGGAAGCAGGAAGAACTGGTTCCTTTTCCTCCCTGGCTTGCTTGCTGGGAAGCTGACACTAACCTCTGACATACGCTCATCATCTAAATCTGCCAGAGACTTTGCTTGAACATCATGATGGGCACAGCGTCTCCAGGAGCTGGAAGCCAGCCCCTCCTGCCGCAGGAGCAGACCACCTGCCTGAGTTGCTGTCTTCGCCTTCCAACCACTTTCACATCTGTCTTCCTGCTTAATCCTCCCAGCAACTGATGGAGGAGGCAGGGCAGGCAGCATGGCTCTGCTTTGAAGAAAAGCAAAGAGGGTTCAGAGGTTAAGTGGCTTTTCCTGAGGACTCATGAGGACACCAGGGAGGCCGGGATCAGGGCCCAGAAGACTGGCAGTTCCAGGCTCACTCTGCTGGAGATTACATGCCCAGAGCAGCTGGGAGGCCAGGCATCCACCTGCTCTCATACCAGAACAGCTCCAGGGGTCCCACAGAGCTGCGGGAGAACTCAGTCAAATGCCAGGCAAGCGAGAAGGAGCAAAAGGCTTTATTGATAAATATGCAGATATGTCTGTCCACAGGGACCTGCTGTGGGGGCCGTGACCAGGCTGCAGACCTCCCACTGCCTGGGTTACAGCTAGGACATGGCCCTGTGCAGACCCCTGCAACGACAGTCCAGCCGTCCACCACCTGCCTCATCTCTGCCAATTGTGCTGGGGGCAGGGAGAGGCAGAGGCCCGCCTCAGGCTTCCCGAGCCCTGGGGCTCACGGGTGGTTCCCTCCCTTCCCAGGGAGTGGCACTGTGCCCAGGGGAGAGCCAGGGGATGGGGGCAGACCAGGGAGACAGCAGCTGCTTCAGACCCTGAGCAGAAAACCGGAGTGAGCACAGCCGGCTGCACCAGATGATAGATCTGGGCTCCAGGGGCCTCCAGGCTGGTCCTTGTGGCTCGAACCTGCTGCGGGTGAGAGGCAGGGCAAGGGCCCCGTTTGCCTTTTCTCTGACAAGGTTGCAAGGCCCATGTGTGGCCGCCTGCTCCCTGGGTACCGGGCACTGGTGGCACATAGTGCCCTGAAAGGCAGGGTCCCTTCATGGCTCACCCACCAGCCATACCGAGGGGAGGGCCCCTGAAGGAAATGACAGCACTGGAAGGCAGCAGCAGGGTGGGGGCCAAGTGCTCCAGGCAGGGCCTCTTTCCAGGGGTCCATGGGTCCATCAGTCCTGGGGCGGCGGGGGCTGGTTGATGATGACCTGGATGACAAAATCTTTCTGGATCTTGGTCTCCTGGAGCCGTGTGCGGTCTGTGAGCAGCTTCCCGGAGAAGAACCACCGCTGCCACGATGGCTCGATGCCCTCCTGGGCATGCAGCTGCCTCTTGAGCTGCCCCACTGTGTCAGGCAGGCTGGCGCTGAGCCTCACGTCCTTGCCTGTGGACAGGCGCACCTTCAGCGGGAACTCGCGGCGCATGCTGGGTGGGGGCTCGGGGGGCTCCAGGGTCTCCTCCTCCGTGTGTTCCAGCAGCAGGTTTACGGGCGGTGACAGGCAATAGATGGGCAGCTGGTAGCGATTGCCCAGCTCATCGTAGCATTCACAGAGGGTGCCTGTGGGAGAGGCAGGGCTGTCAGAGTCAGCTTGGGGGTCCACTATCATGGACTAAATGTGTAGGTCCCCCCAAATTCATATGGTGAAACTCTTGGTCCCATTGTGACTGTATTTGGACATGGGCCTATAGAGAAATAATTAAAGTGAAATGAGGTCATGGGGCAGGGCCCTGACCCTCTGATTCCCCGATCTGAAAGAACGGTTCTTTGTTTTTTGTTTTTGTTTTTGTTTTTGTTTTTCTGACATGGAGTCTCGCTGTGTCACCCAGGCTGGAGTACAGTTGGCGCCATCCTGGCCCACTGCAACCTCCGCTCCTGGGTTCAAGCAATTCTCCTGCCTCAGCCTCCTGAGTAGCTGGGATTACAGGCGTGCACCACCACGCCTGGCTAATTTTTGTATTTTTAGTAGAGATGGGGTTTCACCATGTTGGTCAGGCTGGTTTTGAACTCCTGACCCTGTGATCCAACCCCCTCAGCCTCCCAAAGTGCTGGGATTACAGGAGTGAGCCACGGTGCCCGGCCAGCCTTTTTTTTTTTTCTTTTGAGACAAGATTTCCCTATGCTGCCTAGGCTAGTGTTGAACCCCTGGGCTCATGCGATCCTCCCGCCTCAGCCTCCTGAGCAGCTGAGATGACAGGTGTGCTCGACTGCCCTGGCTTACAGTTCTTGAAGAGACACTAGAGCACTGTGTTACGCTCCACTCGCTCCCCATGTGAGGACACAGCAAGAAGGCAGACACACCTGCAAGCCAGCAAGAGAGTCCTCACCAAAACCTGAACTGGCCAACACCATGACGTGGGATTTCCCAGCCTCCCCAACTGTGGGAAATAAATGTCTCTTGTTTAAGTCACTCAGCATGTAGTATTTTGTTATAGTAGCCTGAGCAGACTAATACACTGCCATGGCCACCCCACAGTCAGATCTCCCTAGGACAACCTGATGACCAGGTGTACAAGGCTGGAGTCAGGAAGACCTGAGCTGGCATCCTGGCTCTACCAGGTACTGGTTTGTTCATCCCTGGGACATCACTTTTCATTTGTGCACATGTGCTGGGTGCTGGGGTTACAGGGATGAATGAAATAGCACAGCTCTCCTCTCCATGGGCCTCAGTGTCCTTACTGGTACAATGTAATGCATGGAAAAATAAGTTTATTGTCTCTTGAGCACCTACTAAGTGCAGGGACTGGACTAAATGATGTTATGTATGTCTTGCCAAATCCTAATAATCATCTCCCCTCTACAGTTGTAAGGCACTCAGGCTCTAAATTCTAGAAGCTCCTTGCTAAAGGCAACACAGGAAAGGAAAACACTCAGGCTAAACCCAGGTCTGGGACTCTACAGCGCCACTGTTGTTACCCTCTGCTGTACATGGTCCCATAAGGCTGCTGTGAACTTACATGAGCTAATGCAGTGGAAGTTTCTAGTTCAGTGCCCAGCACATAAGCCAAGGTCAGTGCCTTTGGGAGGCCGAGGTGGGTAGATCACTTGAGCTCAGGAGTTCGAGACCAGCCTGGCCAACATGGTGAAACCCCATCTCCACTAAAAATACAAAAATTAGCTGGGTGTGGTGGCACATGCCTGTAATCCCAGCTACTCAGGAGGCCAAGGCAGGAGAACTGCTTGAACTCAGGAGGTAGAGGTTGCAGTGAGCAGAGATCCCACCACTGCACTCCAGCCTGGGCAACAAAGTAAGACTCTGTTTCAAAAATATATATATAAAATAAAAAGGTCAGTGTCTTGGATGTTCTGGGGTCCCAAAATGCATTTGTCACACTGCTTTGCAGGTTTGTTGATGTCTTTCTATCATGTCATTAGGCAAGCACAGACTGTGTCTCATTTTCCTTATGTATCCACTTCTGGTCCATGCTCAGCAAGGGTTGCTTGAATGAATGAATAAGTGAATAACCACCTGTTCCACCACTCCACACCCCTCAACACCCCCCGAACAGCTTAGATAGAACCTCGTGACACGTGGCTGGCCACCGGCTCTACTCTACCCCCAAACTGTGCTGGTGACCCCCTAGCTCCAGTGGCGACAAAGCCTTGGCCCTGCCCACTTACCATGAGGCAGGGTGATGCTGGCTCCATCCAGGATGGCCTGGGCCAGCTCATGGTCATTGGCCTCGGCAGCGTAGGCGGCGGCCTTGAGGGCATCCCAGATCTCCTTGCGACCCTCGAAGGCAGGTGCTGTGTCCCAGAACTCATCCCGTTTGCTCCGCAGCTGCCCGTCGGTCATGGGGTAGTCGCTCTTCCACTTCAGTCGCTCTTTCTTCAGGGGCTCATTGCGTCCTGGGCAGGACAGGAGAGGCTCAGCATCTCTAAAGGCACTTGAGCTGCAACTTGCCCTCCCATCTCCTTCCTCCCCGGGCCAGACCCTGGAACCATGCTGCACTGGCTACCAAGTA